CACCCCGGCCCCGCGCCGCAGCCGGCGCGCCCGGCGCGCCGCCGACGCTGCCCGCGCGGCCGCGGGCGGCGGCACGACCAACGGCATTGTCAACGGGGCGCTGTACCCGCCGTCGGAGCGCAGCCAGATCCAGGACAGCTGGGACGCGCTGATGCGGTGGAGCAAGTTCTTCCGGCGCCAGCAGGCGGGCGCGGCGGCGGACCCCATTGAGGCGGCAAACAAGGTGGTGGTCTTCGGCGGCGGCAGCTTCGGCACGGCCATGGGCACGAGCCTCGCGCGCAAGCGGCCGGAGCTGGACGTCGTCCTGCTGCTGCGCGACAAGGCGCTCTGCGCCGACATCAACGAGCGCCACTGCAACACCAAGTACCTGCCGGTGGGCGGCCACGCGCGGCGCTGCTCTCACGGCCGCCGCTGCCGCAAAGCCGAAGCCGCATCCACCAGACGCGGCCTGCCGTGTGCCTCTTCGTCCCCCACGCTGCGTCCAAACCCCAGCGGCGTGCAGCCCCGCTCGGCCGCCCGGCCGACCCCGCTGCTCTTCCCTCAAACGCCCCGCCGCCATTCCCGCCGCCGCAGGACTTCACCCTGCCCAAGAACATGCGCGCCACCAACGACCTCACAGAGGCCGCGAACGCGTCGTACGCGGTGCACGCGGTGCCGGTGCAGCACAGCCGCGCATTCCTCGAAAGCGTGAAGGACGTGCTGCCCCCCCACGTGCCCATTGTGTGCGTGTCCAAGGGCCTCGAGGTCGGCACTGGCTGCATGATGTCCGAGGTTATCCCCTCGGCCCTCGGCCGCCGCCAGCCGGCGACGTTCATCAGCGGGCCGTCGTTCGCGCGGGAGGTTATGGAGGGGCGCCCGACGGGCGTCGTGGCGGCGAGCCGCGACGCGAAGCTGGCGCGGGACGTGCAGCAGCTGTTTGCGTCGCCGCTGATGCGCGTCAACACGACCACCGACGTCATCGGTGAGCGCGGGCCCTCGGTTGGCGGCGGCGCACGGGGGTGCCCCCGGGAAGCACTTGCAGCTGCGCAGGAGCAGGGCGCGCCCCGAAGCTTCAGTGCGGCTCGTGCGGTGCCCCAGCAAGGTGGACCCCGGCCGGCCTCGCCCCTCGGCCCATCGTGTGCGGCCCGCCGCAGCTCTCATCGCGGTCTTTCGCGTCCTTGCACGTCACCCAGTAGCTCCACTCCCCCGACGCTCCCCCCTGCCACGCCACGCCGCCCCCATTCCGTCGACCCCCCAGGCGTGGAGATCTGCGGGGCCCTCAAGAATGTGCTGGCCATCGCGGCCGGCATTGTCGAGGGCCTCGACCTCGGCCACAACGCGCTCGCCGCCCTCATCGCCCAGGGCTGCGCGGAGATCCGGTGGCTGGCTGAGAAGCTGGGCGCCAAGCCGCAGACCATGAGCGGGCTGAGCGGGCTGGGTGACATCATGCTGACGTGTTACGGGGACCTCAGCCGCAACCGGCGCGTGGGGATGCGGCTGGGCAGCGGGGAGCGGCTCGAGGACATCATCGCCAGCAGCTCACAGGTGGGGGCGGGGCGCGGCCAGGGTGTGCTCGCGAGCGCTTGCGCGTGCGCGTAGCCGTGCGTGTTGGCGTGCGTGGAGGCTTGTGGGTGGCCGGCGTGCTTCTTATTGGCGGAGGTGCATGTGTTTGGCAGAGGCTCGTTGAGCTGTGGGCGGCTGTGCACTGGTGGCGTGTGCAGTTTGTGTGTGCGCTGTCAGTTTCGGGCTGCGAATGTGAGCAGCGGGTACTGCACATTGTCGGGGGCCAGAAGATGAGAGAGCCAACAGCATGGGCACGTACAGCGCCCTCGCCCCCTCCCTTGGGCCGCCCCTCATCTACCCTGCCTCCTTGTACCTGCCCTGCCCTGCGCTGCAGGTTGCGGAGGGCGTCGCGACCGCGGGCGTCGTGGTCAGCCTGGCGCGCCGCTACCGCGTGAGCCTGCCGGTGCTGACCGCGGTGGCCCAGGTGCTGGACAACAACCTCACGCCTGCAGAGGCCGTGGCCGAGATCATGAGCCTGCCCCAGATCGAGGAGCACTGATCTGAGGCCGCCTCGTGATCTGATTCGAGCGCCTCGTGGCGCCCCGTCTGCGCCGCTTCGGCGCGGTGAGGTCGGCCTCGGCCACGGTGGGGGCGGCGGCGCTGGTAGCTTCTGTTCCATGCTCAAAGAGAGGGCCCGGCTGGTCTGGGCCGCCACCAACTTGACACAGGCAATACCTGCATGCGCGCGGTGCATGTTCCATTCCTTGGCCCACTGCCGCCCCGCGCCCAACCGTGCCTTCTCTAAATCATGACCTGATTTATCACTACCGAGCGCGAGAGTGGCGGCCCCGCGGGCGCGGCCGCGGCGAGGCCGCGCCCCCGGGACTGCGGCAGTGCTTGATGCCTCTCCCACAGCCACCATGCTACTGCTATAGCCTCGAGTTTGCTCATCCTCCCCACCTTCGGGTTTTGCTAGCCGCGCAGCGTGTGGCCGCCCCAGCGGTCAAGCCCCCCCTGTGGTAGCATGCGGCGCGCGGCAGACTGTCCGCCCTGTGCCCGCTGCGTATCCTTGGTCAAGCAAGCTTGGTCGAGCAAGCTTGGTCCATGGCCTGCCGTTCAGAAGAGTTGTCTCCACCGATTAATGCCTATATTGGCCCTGCATGCATGATGGCCACCTTGCATGCGTGCGCGCCCCATGCCGCCCGCGGCTGTTGTCATCCCTGAGAGCAGCTTGCTTGCGGCAGGCGCTGTGCTCCCACACACGTGAGAGGATGCTCTTCAGGGCAGCACAGCTGGTTTCTGGTGTTTCGACGCATGCGTCACCAGTAATTGTGACGTGTACGTGGTTGGTGGCCTCGGATCAGCATTGCCAGGCATCCAGGTTGCGAAAGTCCAGGGTAGAAGGCAACCATTCCATGCAGGTACCGGACATGAGACTGACGTCCCGCACATTGTGTGACCGGGGCACCATTACTTTTGTGCGCGGTCCGCTGTCGCGCGCGCGCTCGTCGCGGGGCTGCCCGAGCTCGGCCCTTGCTTCGCGCGCGCGATCGGCGACCTCAACCAAGCGGGCGGCATTGAGGTCAAAGGCGAGCAGAGAGTTGTGCTGGTCGCGCTCGACGAGTGCCTCCAAGAGGACGGAGAGCCGACTTCGTTCGCCGCGTCGTGCGGCCCGGCGCTGGCTTTGCTGCTGCTGGCGATTGTGGGCGGCGGCCGCAAGGCCAGAGACCACGGCCTCGCAGACATGGACGCGGCGCTCAAGTGGCCGGCCCGCGTGCTCGCCGCCGCCTGCCTGCGCAGCCTGGCGAAAGCGGAGTTGGACGCGCGCGAGTTGGCCCCCTCGCCGCGCAGCAGCATCACGGCAGCCCCGGGGGCCGCGGCGGCGGTAGTCGATGGCCTGAAGGACGCGCTCACCGCGGGGCACGGCGCCGATGTCGCGGAGTTGGGATCTGCTCTGTGCGCTGTGATGACGTGCGTGGGCATCATGGCCGGCGGCAAAGGCGAGGAGGCTGGCAGCGGCGGCAGCGGCGGTGGCAGCTGCAGCGGAAGCGGCGGCAGCGGCGGCGGCGGCAGCGGCGGCGGCGGCGGCAGCGCCAGCGGCGGCAGCGGTGGCAGCGTCAGCGGCTCGGGGAGCTCTTTTGCAGACGCCTTGGTCTGCCTCGGTGCCCCCACGCTGCTGCGCAAACTGCTCGAAACGCAGGCGGCCAGGCCCGGGGGCTGTGCACGTGTCCCCGTAGCGGCCACGCTGGGCGTGCTGCTGTACCACTAGCGGGCCGCAGCTGCACATCAGAGCGGCGCAGCCGGCGGCTGGCAAGCGGGAGTGGCGCAGCTGGTGTGGGAGAGCATCGCGGCAGCAGAGTCCAACGGGGTCAGCATCATGAGCATGCTCGCGTCAGTCTGGCCTGCGTGCGCACGCGACCTCGCCACATGCGAGAGCGCGTTGGTGGCTGTGGCGAGCGCAGCGGCCGCGGAGGAGAGCGACGAGCAGGACATTGCCGTTGAGCTGCTGGAACAGCTGGCCGGCTGGGCAGAGCAGCAGTGGCTGGTTGCAGGCAGCCCCTGCAGCGGCGGCAGCGGCGGCGGTGGCGGAGTTGAAGTGGGCGGCGGCGGTGAGACGGGCGAAGCAGCAGGTATCTGGCGCGCCGCAAGTGTGGTGGGCAACAGCACTGCAGCCCCGGCCGCGGTCGCTCCGACGGGCGACGGCGTGCGGCACGCGGTGGCGGCGTTGGAGGGGCTGGTCCGCAGCGCTAGCGCCGCCGCCGATCCTGCCTCACACCCGCACGAGATGCTGTCCGCAGATTGTGAGCTGGCCAGAGATGTCGAGATCACGGCACGGGCTTGCCCTGGAAGCCCTTTGCAACGCGGTAGCTGGAAGGCAGGAGCAGCAGCAGGAGACGCGGTGGCAGCCGCGGCAGTGGCGACGCAGACACCAGCGGCAGGAGCAGCAGCATGAGCAGCAGCACGAGCAGCAGCAGGAGCAGCGGCAGGAGCAGCAGTGGGGGCAGCGGCAGGAGCAACATCAGGAGCAGCAGCAGGAGCAGCGGCAGGAGCAGCAGCAAGAGCAGCAGGAACGGGAGGGTGAGCAACAGAGAAAGAACCATGCAACGCAATGCGCCTGCGCTGGCTGCGGCAGCACGCCTGCGCCTGTGCGGCGGCTGCCGCACGGCCCGGTTCTGCTCAAGTGCTTGCCTGAGGCGCTCTTGGCCGCACCATCAGACCCCATGCCAGGAGCAGCAGGTGCAGCGGCAAGCAGCACACGCTCAGGAGCAGCAGGAGCAGCAGCAGCAGCAGCAGCAGCAGCAGGAGGAGGAGCAACAGCAGGAGCAGCAGCAGCAGGAGCAAAATCACGAAACCCGTGTCATGGAAGCCGGTGCAGCTCCCACGTGCGTTGGCTGCGGCAACACTGCGCAGGCATCAGGTTCACCCCTCAGCTCTTGCGCGGGCTGCCGCGTTGCGCGCTTCTGCTCGTATGCCTGCTACAGGACTGCATGGCCGGCTCACAAGGCTTTCTGCCTCAAGAAGCGCGCACAACGGCGGGCGCGGCTTGGTGCGGGGTTTGCAAAAATGGAGTAATACATTGGTCCAAAGCAGCAAAGCAAGGTTGTGAAAGGACGGAGTGGGCGCCGGCATCGGCTTGGCCCAGCTCGTGGCTGCACACAGCAGCACTCCGGCGCTGCGTGGTTGGCAGTTGCTAGGGATTGGTTCAAAGGGCAGCATCCCCCCCTGCAGGTGTCACATTCAAGGCAGGGCAGGGGGTGAGGTGACACCTGGCATGTTAATGGACATGGAGGGCCGCACGTGGAGCAAACCTGCAACCAGCGGCGCCACTGCTTCGCGCCAGGAAAATCATCACCCGCAAGCATGCCCCTGTCCATAGCACTACTGTAAAATATACCCGCAGAGGCCGAGCGCTTTGCGCGCAGTTCTGCCTTGCGAAGCTCACATGTGCGAAGAGGCCACGTCGCAGGGGTCACCGGACGGGGGCTGGCCGGCGGCTGGCTGGTGGTTTTACACTTGGGTGACATCAGACAAGCACCAGTAGTGATCAGGATTAAAGCGGGGTGTGTGCTGGTGTCTGACGTGAGTCTGGAGGTCTGTTGATCTACTCAAAGTATAGCTCAACTACCTTGGAGTCGTAGTCGATTGTCACCGGCTCAGCGGGGATCCGCAGTACAAACAAGTGTGCGGCAAGGAGTAGAGTGCACAAAGCGAGTGGGGTATCCCTGCCCATAACCTGTCCACCATGATGTACGTGAATGACTTCGTCGCAGGATGCATGCAGTGACGAGAACTTGATAACAATGTGGCGCCTGGAGTGGTCACCACCATAACACCGCACAAGGCAGATGTGGCAAGCAGCTGTGGCAAGCAGCTGTGAGCTCACCAGGCGGGTATCCCGCCCGTACCCATTCTGTTTCCACCGGTGCCCCTCGATACACTCAACCAACTGTACGTGTGCACACACACCTCAGCTATAGTGCCCATGAACACCTCCCCTACGTACCCTGTAAGCAGATACAGAACAGATCTGACCGGGCAGTGCCTCCATGGACCAGTGACCGGGAAACGGACCTTGAGAGCAAATGTGGAAATAGGTGGGCTGAAAATCAGTGGCTCGTGTGGAGCCGAGCAAGACGCAGACGCAGGCGCGCACTGATGAGCCTGTCGGTAGGGAATGCGAATGCGCTCTGATGTCCCGACGCCCTTGTTGCCCGGACTTGTGTATAATTCGATACAGGCACAGGTCGAAGTTTGGGGTGCGCCAGGTCGGTGCGATGGACGGCCTTAGCATCATCGCAGGCGCCCTGGAGAGGGGGGAGTGCAGGCGCGCGATTCGCTTCAGCTTTCGACGGCAAGCCAGCCGTGCCCCGTCACCACAGGGGTTCATGGCGCTCATGAAAGTTGTCTACTCCAGCGGAACTGACGGCAGCGGCAGCAGCAGCAGCAGCAGCAGCGGCAGCGGCAGCAGCAGCAGTAAAAAGCGCATGCATTCGGATGCGCTTGTGCTCGGCAAGCTGGCAGAACTCCTCGGACGCAGTGCGGCGGCCCGCAGGCTGCTGCACACCGCGGACTGCGCCGCCATGGCCGCTGCGGCCCTGGTGCGGGCGGGGCTCGCAGCGCCGCTTGGGGCCCGCGGCGGCATGGACGCGGCGGACGCGCATCTGTGGCGCGCAGGAATCATCGCCCTCTTGCACGTGCTGAGATGCGTCTGCGTTGGCGACACCCCTGGCGGCGTCCCGCCTGCCGTAGCAGCCGCAGGGGGTGTGCCTGGCATCCTCGCGACCTTGGCCCGGCTGGCGGCGCTGCCGCCGGCCTCGCTGGAGGTGCGCGGCTTCTACGCCAACCCGCTGTGGATTCTGGAGCACATCGCCACCATATTCTACTCGTCCCCTCACATCGAAGAAGTTGATGTAGAAATGGCCCTGGCATGGGACCGCGAAGTTGCAGGGGCGGCCGGGCTCCTGGTGGATGCCCTGCGCGCGCGCGTGGAGCAGGGCACCATGCAGGACGTCTACGCGCTCCGCCTGGCGGCCTACGTGCTCTGCTCGGCGGACAGCCACCACGCGCGGTCCGCCGTCGCGCGCGCGCTCGTCGCGGGGCTGCCCGAGCTCGGCCCTTGCTTCGCGCGGACGATCGCCGGCCTCAGCCGGGCGGGCGGCATGGAGGACGTAGAGGAGCAGACAGTCCTGCTGATCGCGCTCGACGAGTGCCTCAAAGAGGACGGCGAGCCGACCTCGCTCGCCGCGTCGTGCGGCCCCGCGCTGGCCCCGCCGCTGCTGGCGATCGTCGGCGGCGGCCGCAAGGCCGCAGACCACCTCGTGGCAGACGAGGGCGCCGAGCTCAAATGGCGGGCCCGCTCGCTCGCGGCCAGCTGCCTGTGCAGCGTGGCGAAAGCGGAGATGGCGGGCGTGTTGGCGCCCGCACCGCGCAGCAGCAGCATTGCGCCAGCCCCTGGGGCCGCGGCGGCAATAGTCGCTGGCCTGAGGGATGCGCTGGCCTCGGCGGATGGCGCAGACGGCGCAGACAGCGCGGATGTGGAGGATTCAATCTCTGCTCTGTGCGCTGTGGTGATGTTCGTGGGCGTCACTCGCGGCGGCGTAGACGACGAGGCTGGCAGCGGCGGCGGCGGCACCGGCGGCCGCACGGAGAGCTCTTTTGCAGACGCCCTGGTGTGCATGGGTGCCCTCACGCTACTGCGCACACTGCTAGAAACTGCGGCGGCCGGGCGAGAGGCCTGCATCCGCGTCCCCATAGCGGCCGCGCTGGGCGTCTTGCTCTACCACACGCGGGCGACAGTTGCACAGCAGGGCGGCCTGGGCGGCCGCCGGCAAGGGGGAACGGCGCAGCTGGTGTGGGAGGCCATCGCGGCAGCAGAGTCAAACGGGGTCAGCATCATGAGCATGATCGCGTCAGTCTGGCCTGCGTGCGCCGGCGACCTTGCCACGAGCGAGAGCGCGTTGATGGCCGTGGCGAGGGTGGTGGCCAAGGAGGAGAGCGGCGAGCAGGACATTGCCGTTGAGCTGCTGGAGCAGCTGGCCGGCTGGGCAGAGCAGCAGTGGGTGGCGGCAGGCAGCCCCTGCAGCAGCGGCGGCGGCGGCGGTGGCGGAGTTGAAGTGGGCGGCGGCAGCGAGACGGGCAAAGCAATAGGTGTGTGGCGCGCCGCAAGTGTGCACAACAGCGCCGCAGCCGCCGCCGCACCCGCGGGCGACGGCGTGCGGCGCGCCGTGGCGGCGTTGGAGGGGCTGGTGCGCTGCGCTAGCGCCGCCGCCGATCCTGCCTCGCACCCACACGAGATGCTGTCCGCAGCTTGTGAGCTGGCCAGAGATGTCAAGATCACGGCACTCACTTCCCTGCAAGCCCTTCGCAACGCGGCGGCTGGAAGGCAGGGCCAGCAGCAGGAGCAGCAGCAGCCGCGTCGGCAGCGGCAACGCAGTCACCAGTGGCAGCAACCGGCACAGCAGCGGCAGCAAAATCACAAGCAGCAGCAGCAGCAGCAGCTGCAGGAGCAGCAGGAGCAGCAGCAGGAGGAAGAGCAGCAGCAGGAGCAGCAGCGGCAGCAGCAGCAGGAGCAGGAGCAACAGAAAAAGAACCATGCAACGCAATGTGCATGCACCGGCTGCGGCAGCACGGCCTCGTCATCAGGCGCGCGCCTGCGCCTGTGCGGCGGCTGCCGCACGGCCCGGTTCTGCTCCAGTGCTTGCCTGAGGCGCTCTTGGCCGCACCATCAGACCCCATGCCAGGAGCAGCAGGTGCAGCGGCGAGCAGCACACGCTCGGCAGCAGCAGGAGCAGCAGCAGCAGGAGGAGCAGCAGCAGGAGGAGCAGCAGCAAGAGCAGCAGCAGCAGGAGCAGCACCAAGAGCAGCAGCAGCAGGAGCAAAATCAAGAAATCCGTGTCAGGGAAGCCCGTGCAGCTCGCGCCTGTGTTGGCTGCGGCAACACAGCGCAGGCATCAGGCTCACCTCTCAGCTCTTGCGCCGGCTGCCGCGTCGCGCGCTTCTGCTCGTACGCCTGCTACAGGACTGCCTGGCCGGCCCACAAGGCTTATTGCCTCAAGGAGCGCGCGCAGCGGCGGGTGCGGTGTAGTGCGGGTTTGGTCAAAATGGAGTAACACTTTGGTTCAAAACAGCAAAGCAACGGTGTAAAAGGATGGGCTGGGCGCAACGGCTGGGCCCGCCTTGCGGCTGCACACAGAAGCACTTGGTCTCTGGTTTGCGGTTGCTGGAGATTGGCCAAAGAGCAGCTTTCCAACACAGCAGGTGGCACCTTCAAGGCAGGGTAGGGGGCGAAATAGCACCTGGCAAGGTCAAGGACACAGCGGGCAGCACATGCAGCAAACTTGCAACCAGGGCAAACCCACTGCTGTACGCCAGAAATTTCACACACGCGCAAGCATGTCCAGTAATGACGTTTTCAAAATACACCAGCAACTGCAGGGCGCTTCTCGCGCGTTCCCGCCTTGCAAGAGCACACGTCCCAAGAGGGCATGCATGCACGTCGCAGGGGGCATCGGAGGGGGTCCGGCCGGCGGGTGGCTGGTGGGTGCAACATCATTGTCCTGGCGCCCTATCAACTCCTCATAGTCATACAACTGCTTGTGCTGGTAAACCGCCGCAGCCGCGCATCCCGTCTCGTGTGGCCCCCATGTGGTGCATGGGGCACATGGGGCGGATCAGTGGAGCTGCCTGGCGGCTGGCGCAATGGTCGCCTTCACAGCTGCCAGGTGGCGTGATGAATAACATTTACATTTGTTGATAATGACTATTACATTATACCAGCAAAGCGAACTCCGGAGTTCCGGGCGCCACATCCGACATCTCTCGGGACTCAGCCTTTGCCCTGTCACCCTCACCTTCTGCTTTTACCTCCTCAATACGTCAGATAAATATTCTTGAGAATCACTCAAGCATGGCCCGCCGCATCTGCAGACTGACCCCCCGCGCGGCCTTTGTGGCTGCCTTTACCTTGCTAGCGCTCCTAGCGCTCAGCTCCGCGGCCAACACCGCCGTGGCCGCCGCCAAGCAGTACAACGGCGTGAGGGTGCTGCTCCAACAGGCCGCGGCCGCTCAAAGCGACGGGGAGCAGTGGGGCGCCAACGGCGCCGGCAGTGACGCCTGGCGTGCCGGCCCGCCGGCCGCCTCCCTGCAGGTGGACGCCTCCACCGCCTCCCAAGCCCGCCGCCAGCTCCTCTTACTCAACGCGCGGCGCGCCGCCGCCCAGCGCAAGGCTGCCGCTGCTGCCGCCGCCAAGGCCGACAAAGCTGCCGCCGCCGCCAATGCTACGGCGGCGGCGTCCGCAGCTGCTTCCGCCTACTTGGCGGCGGCTGCTCACTGCACGTGCGACGCCGGCAACGGCACCTTCATCAACGGCACCTTGGTGGCCGCCGCGGCGTCCTCAAAGGCCCGCTTCAGCCAGGACGCGCTCGTCACATCCGACATCACCTCGGTCGTCGTGTCGGCGCTCGCCCTCGTCTACTCCCTCCTTCAGCTGCTGTCTCCGCTGGCCGAGGCCGCCGTCAGCGGCAGCCTGACGATCGGCGCCGGCGCGCTGCTCAACTTTGCCATGCTGCTGGCGCAGCTCTGCGCGTCGGGCACCGACCTCGCGTCAAATATCATGTGAGAAACAAAGTTGGGGCGAGCGCAGGGGCAAGGGCACGGGGGGTTGATCGCTCACGCATCGCGTGCCACGCCTCAGTTGGGGTGGGCGCATGATTGGCAGGGATGAGTGACGTGCGTGCACCATGCATGCGCGTATGCGTCCTGCTGCTGTAGACTTGATGCTGGCAGCCAAACTTGTCATTGGTCTGGCAGCATGTGCTGGGATATAGAGTGCACACCGCCCCCCAGTTGGCCCAATATGCAAACAAAATCTCACTCAATTCTTGATCTGGCCCCCGACCACATCTGCAGGGTACTGGTCAGCGATGCTTCAGCCCCGCTGTAGATACAACGGCAGCAGTTCCACAAGAGACCAGATGCTTGAGCAACGAGCCGCTCTGACTACGCTATGAGAGCAGACTTGGGTGCACCCCCTGCGATCAGCAACACCAGCGCGGGCGCGCCTCTGCTGTGATGCAATAACGATAATGATACCCTGATGAACCAGCCTAAAACAGCACCTCATTGCTGCCATGTCCATGCCACACGTCATTGAGTACAACTATGTCAACAACTGCTGGCAACAAACGAACTTGAATGCCGCCTTGTGTGGTTGTCTACTAGAGTGCTGCATGCATGCCTAAAGGGAGTGTTGGACGAATGAAGCATGTGGCCTGAGAGGGTTGCACGGCTGCAGCAACTTACCTTCTGTAATTTTCGCTGACAGCAGTTTATGCTGGAAGTACACCATCAGGCAGCGCGACTCAGCGGCCTGGTCTTTTCGTGAATAATATCTGCAGGGGACCCTTTGTCTCATCCATACACCAACACAGCATGACACAGGCGGGATTGTTGAGACCTGCGCAAGGTGAAAAGGGTAGTCAGCTTCAACATGACTAGCATTTCATGCTCAGAATCGACCCCAACCACGGATCATTGGTGATTACAAGTTTGCTACATAGTTCTCACACCTGCACATGTGGCACCTCCGTCTTTTTACAAAAAGGTGTGGTGTGTGTGCATGCACATACCCCCCCACACAGCGCTTCTGCAGAAGAGACGCGCACACGTGGGCGCGTGTGGGAGTACGTGTGTATGTGCGTGCATGCATAACTGCGCGCGTACGCATGCACATGCATGCACGCACACGCATGCGCGCACGCACATGCCCATTGTGCACATGCGCACGCAAACAGTTTCGGGCATTTGTGCGTACCTGCGCATGTATTAAGTGCCGGCTGTGTGTGCTGTGTGTGTCAAAGACTGTATCAGCACATGTGTTCTACCTGCAACTTCCATGCTGTATATTGTTTGAACTTGAACTTTGTTTTGTGTGTGCTGATAGGAATATCAGTTGAGGTACGTTGCTTAATGTATACATGCTGACATTGCCAATTTGTATACATGGACCTAGTTGAATACCTCATTTTCCTGGATTACACATTCACTCCAGATATAAACGGCTCAGCACCACTTTTAAGTATCACCATGCACACAACATATGTATAAGATGTGTGAGTAAGGGAAATGCAGGCACAACACAAATGCAGCAGCAGATGTGGGGAATGCAAGTTCTCACATATCCCTATCAACACATCATCCTGGCGTTATGACAGTCAGAGTACCATTACAAAATCATCATCCCGACGTGGGGCTTGTAGCACGCATAGCTGTTGGGAGTTTTTCAGATGTTGGCGCCACGGTGGTGGCCCAGGTGGTGGCCCTGCAGTGGACCAAGGGAGATGGGTGCACAATTTCCATGTTACAACCTTGGCTGTGGTGAGTGCAGCAAACTTGCAGATAACCCTCTCATCAAAAGTCACTACAACAAGCATTACAGCTGGCAGCAAACAAATCTGTTTGATATAACCAAGATGTGTCTAAATGAGGCGGTGTCACAATCTCACCTGGGTACCCACACCAGTCCCAGCCACCTGTTGCACAACAAGTTGAATTGAATTTTGGTGTTAATCTTTTCCAACACATTATTACCATACAGTCAATTACCAAGCACAAACAATGTGTCTTGCGCAGGCAGGCTAAGAATGTGACCGCATGAAACGCAGCACGCAGCACCCTTTGCTGCAGTCCCCCACACCTGCTGGTTTGGCGCGGGCTGGCCCTTGATCTTGGCAGTGGCACGCTCCATACCCATCTCGATTTTCTCAGCAGCACGCGCCGCAGCGCCCTTCAGGCCAGGCTCCTGTGTATGTGGGGAGGAGAGTGTCATGAATGAAGTTGTGTGTCACGCAGTGACATAATGTTATCATCCCAGGCAGCAGGAACCCCAAATAAATGCCAAAGCATGCTTTATTTCATCTTACCCTTACAGGCATGTGATTGCCCCCCTCTGATACAGTTGTTTGCTCTTACACAACCCCCCTTGCAAAAAGCACAACCCCAGACAATCTCTTCAATAACAATATCCGACACACACTCACCCGGTCGTGCCGCATCTCCTGCTGGTGCACAGGACCCACCCCGGCGGTGGTCCCGCCCATACCGCCACCCATGCCCCCGCCCAAGCCGGTGCCAGCCTGCTGGCCAGCATGGTGGTGGTGGTGGCCGCTCATGATGCCGCCAGAGGTGGGGCCCGTGCCCATGGCACCAGTGTTGCCATAGCCAGCACCACCGGCAGCCATCGGGTCAGTGTTGCCGTAGCCAGCGCCGCCAGCGCCAGCAACACCACCGCCCACCGGGTTGGTGTTGTAGCCAGCACCGCCGGCAGCCATGGGGTCAGTGTTGCCATAGCCAGTGCCCGCGCCGCCGGCAGTCATGGGGTTGGTGTTGCCGTAGCCAGTGCCGGCCCCGCCAACGGCAGTGGTACCAGTGCCGCCCTGATTAATGAAATTGCGCAGCATGGATGAATGGGAGGCAATAGTAAAAGTGAGAGAGGGTCTTGGTAACCACGGGGAGCAGGAGAAGCACAAGTTGACTTGAAGTGTTGTGTTGAAATCTGATGCTGGCTGTTCAATAACAGCTGTGTAATTCCTAACATGCGCAGGCTTTACAGGGGACTCACCTGGCCGTATGTCTCCGCCTCACGGCCGGGGTTCACGGCAGCCTGCGTGGGAGGGGTGGGGTGAGAAGGTGGGGTTCACCGCATGCACATGGGCAGCTCTGGGCGAGCCGCAGGGATGCCGTACGTTGGTCAGCACAAGCAAAAGCACAAATCAAAGGCTCGCCTTAATCTTCTGTCCCAGACCCATGATGCTTTACTCGAGAGGTGAACGAGACTTTCGAAAGATTGGTCGGAGGTCAGACTTTGCGAAAGTGAGTTCGTTGGTTAGAGTTGATTCTGAAAAGCTAATTTGGTGGCACGCGCTGTTCTGTAAATATGGCTCACCGCTGGAATTTGCTTGGCGGCAGCTACCGGTCTAGTAGACGGCGTGCTGACATGTCTGCCGCGCCTGGCACAGCAGTGGCAGGGGGTTTTGCGCTGCGCGCTCACGCCCTGTTCCACCTTATATCCTTCTCACACCCAAGTTTTTAAAAAACCCCAGCTGCCTCCTGTTGCTGGCGGCAGCGCACAGCAGATCCTGACAGGGCGGCCAGGTGGAGGGGGCC